CCCCCCCCCCCGTGCATTCCGTGGTGCTGGGGGTGTGGGGTGCCGAGCATGGGGGTGGCGGGTGTGGGGGTGGCGGTTATGTGTTCCTCCCCTTGCTCCTCCTCCTCCCTCGTCTCCCACTGCTGCAGCTGTCGCTGAGGGGGGTGGGTGTGTGGGAGCCTAGGGTTTAGGGTTTAAGGAGGGTGCCGTGGGAGTGGAGCTAGGGTTTGAGCAGGGGGTGTGTGTCGAGGGTGTGGGGCAGTTGGAGGAGGTTGTGTGAAGGTAGCTGTCGTGTCGCCTGCAGCGCCTGTAGTCCGTCGCCCTTGCTTCGGTAGCCAGTGAGCCTGTTGCACCAGTCGCCAGTGGGTTCGTTGCTCCTGCCGCTCGTCTATAGCCGCGGAGCCAGTCACTCCAGTAGTCCGTCGCCCTTGCTTTGGTAGCCACTGAGTCAGCCGCTCCTGTGCCCGTGCCTCTGCAGCTTTATTCGTTGCCTCCCATCTTCTCTCCCTCCACAGTTCCTCCTCCTCCTCACTTGCCCACAAATAACTCTAGCTTTGCTTATCATTGTGAACTATTGCTATATGATTGCTTGCTCTGCTGATTATACCCCACTTTGACTATGGGGGTGTGTCAGAATGTTATTATTGTCTAGCCTGCTGTGGGGTACTCTATAGCGAGTACAACTCCTTAGGGTTTCCTATATGTATCCTGCTGCTTGCTAGTGAACCTTCTCCTTTGCCTAAACTTTCACTTGCCTAGCTAGGGCTTACCTAGCTATGGCTCCTCGTTCTAGCCTTAATCTTAACAGAATAACAGCTTTCGTATTGGTTTGCTAACAAGGAGGGAGATTTTCCTATCCTAGACTACGTGTCGTGGGAGTACATAACAGTTCAGGGCCCAGTTCGGCAGCCACGGAAGGACGGAAGCAAAAATTTTCCGCCTTCATCGAAGCTTCCAATCGCATTATCGAGGGCAAAACAGTGCGGGTTGTAGGGTAAACGTTTCGGAAATCGAAGCGCAGGTGTTTAGCAGCAGCGACGCGAACACCACCAAACATTGCTTCCGCACCGTCTTCTGTCCTTATTCTTCCCCCCATGGCGGAAAGCTTCCGCCCTAGTGAGACGGAAGAAGAAAGTGATTCTTTCACAACACAAGAATCAACTTTTTGATTCCAGAAGAATCACTATCCATGGGACAACATTGCACCCTACAAATGAAATGGTTAATAGACCAAAACAAATTTACTCCAATAGCGTGCAGCAACCACCCCATTTTTCGTTAGAGCTAGCCCGCTACAGTGCCCTGGGACATTCGAATGTCCAGTAAAATGTGCCTGGACATGCGATGGTGTTTTCTATCTTCCCCTCACAACCTGCGCCAGCTCCCCCACAGCGCAGGTTGTCCGCCGAGCAGTCAAACCAAGGTCAAAATTCGTTGACCCTTCATTGACGCCAGCCTCACCTTCGCCTCATCTTCCTCACATTTTGCTTCCCCCTGGCTACCGAACTGGGCGTTCCTGGAGATGGCCTGGACATTAGCCGCTCCAATGACATGTTAAAGTTGCCATGTGCCGTTGGCAACACGTCCCCATCGCAGTTCACATCGTTGCAGGTTCTGACCCGCCAAGTGTACATTTGCACCCGCGCACCAATGAATTTCGTGCGCGAACAAAAATCTGCGACCTGTTCGACGTTGAGCAGTCAGAGGACACACCCTAGAAAATATTCCTTGCTGAATCGACAATCCTCGCGCGCCAGGGTATGCAGTGCCAAATTTCCCTACCAACACCAACACTCGCAACTTTAATGCAACCATCCCTGTGGATTTTTTTTTTCCTATTGCCCAAATGGTTTTGGCCCTCGTTCTGGTGTTTACAACTGCGCCATTACTTAACTCACGGAGTCAACTACACTTCTGAACACCAGTCGTGCGAAAACGTCGCACGGAGGTACATTGGCAGGCCGGGTTCGTGTTGGCGGGCTGCCACGTTGACGCCACGTGGCCCCAACGCTCAAATGTCCAGACGTTTGGCATTTGGCCATCCCCAGGAATGCCATCTCAATCAAGTCTTGCTTGGCCACAAGCATTCCATCTGTAGCAAACCTCCCTGTCAAACTCTACAGCGTGTTTGTGAGGCGAAGCCAGCCTTCAGGCACTTCAGTTTCCGCCTTTCCTTGCTTCAGTTTCCGCCTTTCGAAACAGGTATGGATGCGTTTCAACTGGCTGTCAGATTACATCTCGGGCTCTCGGCGATGCGCCGCTGCAGGCGGTCCTTGAAGTGGCTGTCCTCGCCGGCGCAGCGAGTGATAGATCGCGGGTCACAGAGGTGTCCAGAGATGCTTCATGACTGCGTGACAGGAGGGGAGTAACCCGATCGACGTGTAGGATCAGCAACAGATTTCGTAACGAATCAACCACAAAGGCAATCAACACAACTCAGTTCACCGCCAATAGCCTACCGCTGCTAGCCTGTAAGCAGCCAAATTTGAGTTGGGTCTTGCTTGAGTCTCGTGGTGGATTCGTAACAAACAGAGCTATTTCAATCAGAGCTGTTTCTTGCTCATAAAGTCTTCTGTGAATTTCCTGTCGTCGCTTTTCTGAAACCCTCTTGTATTCGAACGCAACTTTTGCCTATTCGTCGGCGGTTGCGTAGCTGATCGTTGGCGGTGATGGGTAGCCGTGAAGATGAGGTAGCTCTCAGTCTTGCAGCACCCGCTGATGCCGAGAATCATCATGAGGTGAGAGTGATGCCGCAGCCAGTGAAACATCACACCATGCCTAGCCGATTCCGTCAAGTCTCACCACACCATCCTCAGGAAAAGACAATGGATCAGTCTTATTCTCGCTATATATATCTCTACTTTTTTATCTCTCGAAAATCTCCCCAACCCAGAGCGTGGACGTGGTTGATCTGCTGCCCGGCCCCATCTGGCACATCGTCTTCTGCCACATGCTGCTGGGCGAACCGCCCGAGGGGTGCAGGACCTCGCGTCTCCTTCGACTTTTGAATCGACTCAAAAATAGACTGCGGAATCGGGGTAGCTCCGTGGAGCAGCAACGAGCGGAGGCATTGAGAACCTTCGGCTCCTCCTGGCCTCTGCTGCGATGCGCCATGGTCTGCACGAGGCTCCTCTACCATGTCGCCTCCTTCCCCGTAAGTTGCTCCCCGTAATCCATGATGTCTAATTCCTCTCTGGTTGCCGAGCAATGAAGCCGTCACGGTCACGGCGATATGATGCGGTCACGGTCAGGATAATACAAAACTTGATCAGCCCAAGAAACACTCAGGAGACTTTTAAGTTGACTCACAAATTCGCTCCTCTAGTACCTTCTCATCGCTGTGTCCGTCTGGCCATCTCTCTGTCACACCGTGTACGAGCAGGACTTGGAGCCCATGACGCTGCCTATCAACCCCCAAGACCCCGCGCTCACACGTCTCTCAAGAACGCTCTCTGTCTTCCTCAGGCACGCGCCTCACACGCCCCTTAATGTCGTTCTCAACAGCCCCCAGGACCTGCACTGCCTCGGCCGTCTCTTGGGACCCTCTGCGCGCTCCCTCATGAACTTGTCCCTTCTGCTCAGGGAACCTCCCGAGGGAGTTGAGAATATCTTGGAGAAGCGGATTGTTGAGAAGGGGATTTATGATTTGGAGTTTGAATCTATTATTAAGGGGAATCAGCTGTTGAATCCCGCTGTTTCTGAGGATTTTGAGCAGCTGCAACGGCTGAAGCTAGGCCGTGGGACGTGGCAGCTAGACAACCTGAATCCAACGAGTTTCGGGGGTTTAAGGAGTCTGAGCATCCACGATTTCGAGTGCGGCAGAAAATCTCTGACCTTTCTCTCATCCGTCGCACCACAGCTGCATGAACTCGCTCTCGCCTCCTCCAGCCAAAGCTCTAGCTCCAGCACCCTCACCCTCGACTTTAAGTTGACCGCTGCTCGAGCTATCACAGTCTGCTTTGAGAAACAAGCCGTCCACCTCCGCTTTGGCCTCCCTCCCTCTTTGAAGTCCTTCTCTGCCGTTGCGGCGTTTCTTCGCTTGGATTGCACATGCAACAGCTGCCCCTCTCTCGACTCGCTCTCTCTCATTGGCCGCTCACAGCTTCTCGTTTATTCATTACCATTGGCTGCCGCCAAATCCGTCTACTTGAATGGACCGACCAATCGAAAAAACCAGTCGCGTGGGTTTCCCAATCGAGAAAACCAGTCGCGTGGGTTTCCCAATCGAAAAAACCAGTCGCTTGGTTTTCCATGTTCTGATCTCGAATCCTAACGTGCCTTGACTCACCTGCTCAGCAGCATAGCGCCTACAGTGGAGGAGCTTGTATTGAGGTACGGCTGGCCTCTGGAGGGCGTGTGTGTGGAGTGGAGCCGCCTGCGTTGCGTTTTCGTTGGTATAGATCGTGAGAGCACGGTGGGGATTAGTTATAAATATTTTCCGGGGGATCCTGGAGATTCTGATATTCGGAGGTGCATTCGTGCGGGAGAAGAAGATGGCGTCAGCAGCAGCACCAGCGGTTTGCTCATCAATGCTCCGAAATTGGAGTCGTTTTACGATGCCACATGGCTGCTTAGTTTTGAGACAGCGAGACTTACCTTAGAAACATATTGATGTGAGAGTTGAACGAAGACGCACGGAGGTGGTTAGGGTAGTAAGTGAGTGGAACCAGGTGTGAGGGTTGATAACGATGGTGGCAATGGTGTGGGAATGGGGTGGTGTGGGAATGGGGTGGTGTGACCATGGGGTTGCGTGCACCTGTGTGCTGTACCCTAAACCCTTGGTGATGGGATGACCACAGAATGGCGATGGGATGACCATATGATGGTGATGGGATGACCACAGGATGGCGATGGGATGACCATATGATGGTGATGGGATGACCACAGGATGGCGATGGGATGACCATATGATGGCGATGGGATGACCATATGATGGTGATGGGATGATCACAGGATGGCGATGGGATGACCATATGTTGGCGATGGGATGACCGTATGATGGTGATGGAATCTAGATGAGGCTAGCTGTGGGGGTGGCAGTGGTGGGCATCTGCCATGCGGGTGCTCTCATCTGCGGCCAGCAGTGTGAGCGTGTACTCTCTGTATCCCGGCACCACCACCACTTGCGCCTCCAGCACTGAGATCAGCAGCAGCGCAGTCGCCTGCGGGGGAAAGGGAGAGGGGCGGGGAGAGGGCAAGGAAGGAAGTAGACAGTGGGCAGTGAGTCTGAGCATGGGCTGCGAGCCAAAGGAATGGTGTGAAAACTGATCCTTGTGAAGGGCGGCCAATCCCACCCTACCCCACCCCATCCCATCCCCACCCCACCCCACCCAACCCCATCCCATCCCATCCCATCCCATCCCATCCCATCCCATCCCATCCCATCCCATCCCATCCCATCCCATCCCATCCCACCCCACACCATCCCACCGCTCACCTGCCTCTCATTCTCACTCGCCACCACCTCTCTTGCCACTCGCTGCACGTCCTCCCCTGACAGGTCAACGAAAGTCAACTCATCGCCACATGCAACGGTCGGCCGCCGCACCACGTGCCTCAGCGCAATCTCCTGCTCCTCCTCCGTGCTCTCGTGCTCCGACATGGTGAACGCGAGCACCTTGCCTGCATGGTGAACGCGAGCACCCTGCCTGCATGGTGAACGACCTCAACCCGTACTCCCCTCCCGCTCCTCCTCCTCCTAATGTTTCCGCTGTGGCTACTGCTGCGGCTGCTGCTGTTGCTGCTGCTGTTGCTGCTGCTGTTTCCGCTGTGGCTGCTGCTGTTGCTGCTGCTACTGCTGGCGCGGCTGGAGTGCCTACGGGTTGTGAAAGGGCAGCGGGAGTGAGGGCAGATGGCGCAGGGGCAGCAGGCGTGAGGGCGGATGGTGCGGGCATGGCACGGACCCATGAGACGAGGGCGTCAAAGGAGGCGGTGCAACCGCGCAGCAGGCTGAGCGCTGTCAACAAGAGCTGGTACTCCTCGTGGTTGCTCCAGTCACCTGCGCTCCAGTTGCCTCGGGTAAAGCAGGAAGGAAGAGGAGAATGAGCCACTTAGCCAGCTTGAATTCAAGAGTGTTGTTCTTGAAACAATGATTTTCGCCTGCCTCGCCGTGGCCTCTTTCTGCTGCGCCGCAGCGAGTCAGCTTGAGTTCTCGAGTAAGAGTACAACACTCAGTCGACAGTAAATCAAGTATCACCTCGGCCGCGTTGTGTTGTGCCACAGTGTGCTGTGTCGCGGTGTGTGCCACGGTGTGTTGTTCGACTCAATCGACTCTTAATCCAGTCATTCTGCTGCGTAACACGGTGAGTCACCTTGAGTTCACTCACAAGTAAGAGTACAATACTCAGTCGACTGTCACTCCAGTCTCACCTTGGCCGCGGTGGGTTATGCCGTGGCGAGACAGCTTGAGTTCAACTTTTTAGTCAACTCAAAATTCAGCTTGAATTCAAGAGTAGAACAATAAATCGACTCTGTGACTCACCTTAGCCGCGTTGTGCTGTGCCACAGCGATACGAGCCATGGCGATTTTTTCCTCGCCACCCGGCTAGTCGAGGTCCAACTCCGTATTAGGGTTTGGAGGGGAACCGTCCGCCACTGCCGCGGACAACGGCGGAAGACACGCATGACACGTGGATGCCACGTGGCAGAGGATAAGGAGGCACAGCGGGAAAGTTGGACACCGCCGCATCTCAACGCGACGGCACGGCATGATCGCCCGTCTACTCGAGTGACTTTGTAGCGATTGTTCTCACGTCGCGTGACGGATATGCGCCAGTACCGGAACGCGGTGTTGTTCTTACGACAGCGATTCGCCTCTTGAATGGTCTTGAGTGATTACCACTAACGTCTGGTTCCGCAAGAATGCATTTTTTCAACCCTCTCCTGAACGATCAAAAGCTTGTGAGTCGAGAGGCACATGGGAGACTGCCTGGCGTGCAGTGCTCGCGTGTCGTCGAAGTTCTTGGCCTACTTTTTCTGCCTCTATTACTATGGCAGTCCCCTCCCCGTTGCCCTGAAAGGCATGGTGGGAGGGCGACGGTGTTCGCGGTGCGTGCCATTGCGGAGGCAAGCTGACAACGAGAGAACGAACGCCACCAGTGCATGTGATGGTGGCGAGAAAAGGAGTTGCGGCCATTTTCAGGTGCATGCAAATTAGCCTAGGAACGCTATTCAGGTGCATGCCAGGTTGCGTACACTTTCCTCAGGTTAAACAATGTGTCCCGTAACGCGACACGCTTTTCAAGATTCGACTCAAATTGGCACAAAAGGTCCGAAATAGATACAATTTCAGGCTACGCAAATTGGAATCGGAATGGTTGGCTCTCGATGCTGCATTTTATGACGTCACTCAGTGCAATGATTGCATTTTGTCCAATTTTTACGCAAATTTTTGCTTCGCACCAGCTCTTTTTGAACGAATTGTAATGCTAGATTTGTTGTACAGTTGACGCATATGACGGACGCTGCGCATGGCAAATCAGCAAACCCTTCATGAGTGTTTGTAAATTTTGCCACTACCAGAATTAATATTTTGCCGTACATGTATATTGAAATAGGTGGTATGCCATGGCGTTAATTACGTGTCATTTGTTAACAGGAATGGAGTGTTGGCCCCGCCCTCGCTTGGGCAACGCCGACGACTTGGTCGGATGTACCGGAGTAGCAACCGACCGTTCACAGTGGAGAGCTGCTCGACAGGCTTCGTCGAGCTGCAGGGGACCACTGTGGTGTTGCTGTCGACCAGGGAGCTCGACATCTGCAACTGACTGGTCTGGGCGACGGGTGGGACGTCGACCAGGACCTACAGCTCGACCGGGAGGTCTCCGGAGCATCCCGTCGACCTGACAAGTGAGCAGCGGTCGACGAGGGGAGCTCGGCGACAACCGCTGATGGTTCTGGTCGACGGAAGGGGTCCGTCGACCAGGGGGTAGCTCGACGGGAGTTCTGGTCGACCACCGGGACCTGGTGGTCGACCAAAAGCAGTGGTGGTCGACCGGAAGCACCTGGTGGTCGACCGGGTCGACCGGGTAACCTGCTCGACGAGTTCTGCGGAGGCATGCAAACATCGTCGAGGTCGCGATGGCGCAGGCGACTTCGGGCTGGTATCCCGAAGTCGATGTGGCTCGTCAGGCGCAGACAACAGCCGACCGATGCCCAACGAGGCAAGTCGGGCCAATCGTCTGCGCACACATGCGAGAGTGCGCATTGCTGTGTTCTACGGGGCAACGCTGGACAGCCGCTCTGCTGCAGCGTTGGCACGCCGTCGACTTGCTCTGTTGGCAGGTCGACCTTCTGCAGTGCTGGCACGGCTCCTCTACGCAACGCTGGCAGGTGGTCGACCAAGCTGTGCTGGCGGTCGACCAGGCTAGCTGCAGGGTTGCTAGGTGCCTGATGTAGACATTGTTGCCATCTCTTGTTTAATGATTCTGCAATTCCAACTTTGCTAGTGGAAACTCTTGCCGATTACTCCCGTGAATGCGCAAGCACTAAGGAACTAAGCAAAGCGACGATCACCTCTAGTAGTTCGTGCCAACCCCGTAGTCTAGCTCACTACCGTTGTAGAGTGTCTCTCCGCATGGTGCGGTGAGCGTGGATCGAACAAGCGAATTACCTTCAGATAGGAGCCGACTTTTGCACCTACTAAGTCGTTCGTAGGCCAGCAGCAGCGTTAGTCGCCTTGGTTGACCCCGTAGTTGATGCGGGTGTAGCGGACACCTTGGAGACACGTTTGGCTGACGCGAGGAGACGCCACGCGGATGGCGAGTACGGGACGATCCCCTTGCTGATCGTCGAGTTGGGCATCCGGTCGCAGTGGGCGACGGAACACCCTTCCCGTCCTGCATCTCCTCGACCGGTGCGCAACGAAGGTGGCGTCGACGACGAGGTCGACGGTGGTGCACAAATCAGCGGCAGCAAAGGCACGAAGCAAAGAGGGGTGATCAAGGTCGACGGAGGCGTCGACGGAATCCAGGCGCGAGTGCAGCGGTCGACGGCGGCTGCATGCAGCTCGCGTGCCAACGTCGATGTTCGATGTCGCTCTCCTCTACGAAGCGGTGGAGGGCTCGGCGACGACGCATGTGACGGCGGGCGGAATTGCACCGCCGAATGGCTACTTCAAGTTCTCGCCGGATCGGATCACCGTCGCACCGCTGCAAGGTCGACGGGACCTCATCACCTGGAGGGAGTCGATAGAACCTCAGCTGGAGGTCGCCGGGCTGAAGGGCTTCGCCGACGGAACCGTGCCATTTCCGCCCGAGGAGGATGTCGAGCTACGCGGGGAGTTTCGCTCTGCTCACCTGCTCACCTTCATGGTCATCTCGAGGTGCTGCTCGCCGGTGGTGCAGCTAGCACTCAGGAGCTGTCGAGAGCGACTGGATGCTGGTCACCAGGCATGGCACTTCATCATGTCGACGTACCAGGCCAGGGACGACCTGTACATCGGACAGCTAGAGGAGAAGATGACTCACATTCGAATGGGCGAGCAGGAGTCGGCGACGGACTACTGCAATCGAGCTCGACGGATCCTAGCTGAGATGAGGATGGCGGGCGCCGAATACTCGACGGCGTCCTACATCACCCACGTCCTCAAGGGCCTGCCGCGCAGCTACAACCTCATGAAGAGGTTTACGATGGTGCCCGGCACACGTGAGTCCCTCGACGAGGACTCCCTTGCCAGCTACATCCTCCAGGATGAGGCGATGCAGGAGGCAGAGCAGCCCACGGAGTTCCTTCCGCAGGCGAGTTACGTTGCACCGACGAAGCCGAATCGTCAGCAGGAGCAGCGCGGGAAGCCAGGCGGAGGTGGTAGCGGAGGTGGGCGGTCGACGAAGGACGTCGACGAGAAGAGGTCGACGCGGGACAAGGGTCGACGAGGTGGTGGTCGACCGCGGGAGTGCTGGATCTGCGGCGACCCCGACCATCTCTCCTTCGAGTGCCCCGACCGCGATGACAGCGACGAGGACGACAATAAGGGAGGCCGCGGTCGATCGGCCAGTCGTCGCCCCCGTCGAGTTGAGAAGCCGCGCAAGGAGAAGCAAGCGTCAAAGAAGACGTCGTCGACGAAGGACGTCGACAGCTCGAGCGGCAAGAGCCAAGGCGACGGGGAGGCGTCGTGCTCGATGGTCGGCGTGGTGGAGCCGACGGTCTCGCTGGCGCCGGAGGCCGGCGAGGACTTCCAGGCGGTGGCAGCAGCTGTGCAGGCCAACCCGATGGCGGTGCTGCTCGACAGCGGGTGCTCCCACCACCTGATGGGGACGAAGTCGGTCTTCGTCGACATGGGGCCGAGCGACGGAGTGAAGCACGTGCGTGGGTTCAACGGGGCATTACAGACTGTCGAGGGTCGTGGAACCGTCGCTCTGCAAGGGGAGGCCGGGAAGCGGGTGCTCTACGTTCCGGGTGTTCAGGCGAACCTGCTGTCAGCTGGCCAACTGAAGGAGAGCGGAGTGCAGCTGCAGGGTGACGGCGACGAGATGCTGCTCGTTGCTACGACCAGGGAGGTGCTCGGTCGAGCACGCTACACCGGACGAGTCCTCTGCACCAACCTTCGCCCCTGCTCGACGCAGTCGCCGTCGACCGAGGTGGTGGCTCTGCGGACGATCGTCT